AAAAAAAAAAAAAAAAAAAAAAAAAAAAAAAAATTGCTTACGCCGACAATAACAGTACTGTCACTTGCCCAAACACAACCGATTACGTTAACTTCAGGTAAATTCCCATACATATCCTTAATGGTCCGTTTCACTTTCATTTTTCTGGGGTTGATTTCGTCAAACGTCAAAACGATATGTACGTCTCTAGGTAGGTACATGTACTGTATCTGGAAAATAAAAAGAAATCATCAACCTAACCTAGCAAAACGTTCTACCACTAAGCTTTCACCAGCTAAAGATGGTGGCACTAATATACTATTTTTTTTTCGTTTGTATGTCAAAAAGCTGGTGGTCATTTCAAACGAGAAATCAAAACACGTTTAGTTTAATGTAAACATCTCACGTTTTAGGACATCCCAATTTTTTTACCAAAAAATTAGTTGTACGTAGGGCCTTATAAAAAATGTGAAATCTGAAAGTATAAATTTGTATCTTTGCTAGTATATTATGATATTACATGCTATATAAGTTCCTATTGTCCTAGTTAGCCCTGGGCAAAAAAAATCAGAACCAAAACACCGAATAGGGATCGAACCGAAGTACCAGAAATTGAAACCAGACCGAAATCTTCACGTACCAAATGGTTTCTATATTTTTATATCTGAAATAACTGAACCAGAATCGGAACCAAACTGATACCCGAATACCTTTTAAACAAGTTTAGGCTTTATGATATAAGGTAAAATGTCATCAAGCCAACTCGAACCTCGATTTCATATGAAGAGTAAGAACATTTTTACCACCAAACCACATTATCTTTTATTTAATCATTTATATTATAAATATATATATGGTATTTTTATATTAAAATACAATAAATACTTATAAATTGACACTTTAATTATTCAAACTCTTGTTGAATTGATGAATATGCAAGCGTATAAACACTAAACCATTAAAGTTAACATGTCAACTAATACATTTTGTATATATATATATATATATATATATATATATATATATATATATTGATTCATATATTAAACGGATCGGATACCGGAATCGAACTGAAACCGAACCAGAATTGAACTGAAACCATACCGAAATCTTATAAGTATCTATTAGATATATGAAGATTTATCCGATATATTCGGAACCAAATGGTTCCTACCCGAAACCAAATCGAATATCCGAATGCCCAGGATTAGTCCTACCTAAAGACATTTGTAAACATAGTTTGAGCTAAATCACAAATCAAAAACCGGAGACGAAACTATAAACCAGTTTGCTAGGCATGAGTTTCTCCAATTTACAATCTAAACTATTAAAAATAGGATATAAATAGGAAATAACCCTTAATTTTTCTCAAAAATTACATTTTCATGCCATTGGTCTTAATCTATATATGGGCTTGGTCAATTAAAGTAAAATTAAAGTCCATAATGAAAATAAAATTTGAAGATAGTAATTAAGTTGTGGCTCTTTTTAATTATAAGTTTATAACTAGATAATTTAAACTATTAAGTTCAATTAATTTTCTTCTCATTTTTAATGTATTTTTGAATTTCGTTTCATTATTATTATTGTTTCTCTAAATAATATTTTTGTTTTTAAAATTCTCAAAAAAAAATTTGAACTTTATATAGCAAAGATTTCACATTTAGTGTTTACTTTACCAACTAAACTAAATAAAAATACAATAAGAGAAAAACACAATCTCATAGTTTATAAGTGAAAACTAATCACGTTTAAACAACACATGTTACTGTTAATACTAAATATAACTTGAATCTATAATATAAAAAACATAAATTTGAATCTATAATATAAAAAAATCATAAAAAATTAAATTTATCACATTTTCAAAAGTTAAAAATATATGATTATAAGAACAAATATATGTGCGGGCGCGCGGGTAAAAGCTAGTGGTTGTTATATATCAGTGATTGTTTTCTTAATAATAACTTATATTTTATATATTTGATAAAGATCGGGTGTTAAACACAAATAAAAAGCGTGCTAAGTATTTGTTTCCCTTTCGAAGTATGAAGTTTTTAATAAACTTATATATTAATCAGACGCTTAGGCTAAAAAGAGGTTGACTGTTCTTTTAAGCTTGGCCAATATCAAGACGATTAGATAGTTTTTGCTGCAAAGATGACCAATAATTATAGAACATTGGCTGCTGAGAACAAACATGGACGAGTTAAAGAATATATAAAAAGTAACAAGTTGTTTATGTTCAGATAGCCAAGCAGTTAGGGTCAATCCTTTTGGCTTGAGCCTCCTTATCCCCATTCGGATTTGGTATATGTTCTTCGCCGTTTGGGTTCGGGTCATATTTTTCGGTTTTTGGTTTGAGCTCCTAAGCTTCATTCGGGTTTAGGAGATGTTCGGCGAGGCTCGGTTAATAACATTTTGAGTTTGTGTCTATTTTATAACTCTCTCTAAGATCCATTATTGTTTCAGTTATTGATACTTTTGAGTTCAGTTAATAATAATATTTAGGATTCAAATATATCAGGGGATTTTGGGTTAACTGGATTTTCGTATTTTCTTTGTACCCGTTCAGACTCAGTAATAATATATAATATTTTGGATTCAAATATATTTTTATACTTACAGGTTCATGGTATTTTTACCCAGGCCTACTATGGAATGAATGTATCCATTCTCATATACAAATAGAAACACAAAATGTATAGACGTATATATGTGATAGACTAATAATTTTTGGTTTTGTCATTTGATTGGAGAAGCAACAACAGAACCTCTGTGGCTCCATCAGCTGGAGAAAAAACGTAAGTTCATTATTGTTTGCTTCGTCCTACAATGTTTTGTAGTTTTGTTAATCAAAATTTTGTTTCTGATACATTTGTAGGAAATTCTCAGGGGAAGTTAAAAACAATACTCGGTAGGTACCCTTCACTTCATTGCAACCATAGCTCTCTTTTGCATTCATGTACATAAGACCTAAGTTTTGGAGTTTTATTCTTCCTACAGGAGTCTCAACAGCTTTACTTGTAATGGTCGTTATTGTGGCGATTGCGCTAACTGTGAAAGCAAAGGATGTGAGCACAAAGAGCCATGAAAATGACGCCAAAATTGAAGCTGCTGTAATGTTGAAACGCTATAGTTGTGGAAGTCTCAAGAAGATGACAAACTCATTTGCTCATGTTCTCGGGAAAGGAGGATCAGGAACTGTGTATAAAGGAAAATTACCTGACGCAAGCGGCGGCCGAAATATTGCACTTAAGATCTTGGAGGAATCAAAAGGGGATGGAGAAGAGTTTATCAATGAATTAGCCAGCATGAGTAGAGCATCTCATGTTAATATCGTTTCCCTGCTTGGATTTTGCAATGAAGGGAGCAACAGAGCTATCATTTATGACTTCATGCCGAATGGGTCACTTGACAGGTTCATTTCCAAAACTATGTCAACAAAACTGGACTGGAAAGTTTTATACAACATTGCCGTCAGTGTTGCTCATGGATAAGAGTACTTGCATAACAGTTGTGTATCGAAGATTGTGCATTTCGATATAAAGCCACAAAATATACTCATGGATGAAGATTTGTGCCCCAAAATTTCGGATTTCGGTCTTGCTAAGCTTTGCAAAAACAAAGAGAGTGCCATATCTTTGCTAAACGCGAGAGGGACTATAGGGTACATTGCTCCTGAGGTGTTTTCCAAGAACTTTGGAGAAGTTTCACATAAATCAGATGTTTATAGTTATGGAATGGTGGTTCTTGAGATGATCGGGGTAAAGAACATGAAACGTGTTGGAAACTCTAGATCCGAAAACGTTTCAATGTACTTTCCAGATTGGATCTACGAGGACCTGGAGAGGAAAGAAACCATGAGTTTCTCTGGAGTTCATATAATCGAACAAGAAGAGAAGATAGCAAAGAAAATGGCATTGGTTGGTTTGTGGTGTATTCAGACCAGTCCATCTGATCATCCACCAATGAAAGAAGTCGTTGAGATGTTAGAAGGAAGTCTAGAAGCCCCCTCCAGGTACCACCTAAGCCTCTTTTGACTTCACCATTTGCAACCCCTTGGGAAAGTAGTGTTGCAGATAGTAAAGAGACTTCAAGTTCCTCCACACTAAAAACCAGTTAGAGAGAACTCTACACTAAGATATGATTAGTTTATAGCTTTTGCAAATGTTGTTGTAAAATAGATGCTAAGACCATTCAAAATTAAATTTGTATTTTTCTCATAACTATATTGGGTAGTGTTTAGTGTGAGAAAATTATGCATGTTGAATTATGTGTAAAAAATGTATATATAATCATATTCTTCATGAAACATAGTAATATTCTGAATGTGATTCAACCTCCAGAGTGTTTTTTTCTATTATGAACAAGTAAAGAAGATTTCATATATAACTAAATAAATATGAGTGTGTTACAAGAAAGAATCTCTATGAGGAGGCATGTGAAAAAACTCACGTGCGGTTAGGAGAAGCTCTAGCTCTGGCTACTGATCTCGTGTAAAGCTCTTCGTATTGTGTAGCCGATGATGCCCAACTGAAGTCTATGCTCATCACTTTCTCCATCAGTCTTACCCATTTCTCTTCATCTTTCTTGTAGTGGTTAAATGCTCTTTCCAATGCGTAATTCAAACCCTGTTTTAACACCTCTGGTTTCAGCTATAAACCAAACCAAACCAAACCGAACCAAACTAAACTAAAAGAAGAGAGAATCGTTAACTTTACCTGTTCATCAGCGGTTTGAAATGTAAACCCGTTTTGAAACTGAGTTGGTATTGTATCATCATCGATGTCAAAGACACTGAAAATAATAGTGTTTCAAAAGTTTGAAACCAAAAGTCATCTAAAATTAAAATAGTAATGTTTTCCTCCAGACAAGGTCTTTGAGTTTTGGTTTTACCTGTCGTTTAGGCCTCCGGTTTTACGCGCGATTGGAATGGAGCCATATCTCATAGCGATCATCTAGTGCAAGAGAAGGTATCAGAGAACATAGGTTAGCAGTCACATTCATGATTCTTCTTAAGAGATTATGTTTTGTATTTTAGTAACCTGTGTAAGTCCACAAGGTTCGAAAATAGAAGGAATGATGAACATATCAGATGCTGCGTAGATCGAATGAGACAGAGCTTCATCGTACTTCAGTAACAACCGGACATGATCATGGCTCTTAAACTGTTGTTCAATACCTTCAAATTCCCTCTACAAAAACAAAAATGAATCAAAGCTTAAGACCATGAAACTGGAAGAAGCTAGACAAGAACCAAACAGATTATTACCTGAATATGTGGGACTGGACTAGAACCAAGAAGAACAAACTGTCCACCTAACTCTAACGTTCTGTATATAGCATGTCTGATTAGATGAACTCCTTTCTGTGGCACTAATCTTGTTATGCAACCAACCTAAGTATAATAATAAATCAACTGAATTAGTATATGCTCAAGAATCTCTCATCAGCATAAGAAGAAATGCAATCAAGAAGTTACCAAAGGCCGTCTTGACTCGGCTGAAGAGAGTCCAAGCTGCTTTCTAAGTGCGTATTTGTTTTCTTCTTTCCCTTGTAGATCTTTAGCGTTGAACTGAGCCTTAAGGAAAGGGTCTGTGGCGGGGTTCCACGAGTCTGTGTCAATGCCGTTAAGGATCCCAATGAACTTCTTGGAGTTGGAATTGAGTGTTGAATGGAGTCCCTTTCCTCCCTGTTAATACAATATAGACAGATCAAAACAGAAAAAGCTTTGTTTTGATTAATAATGAGAACTACCAAAAAGAGATCCTTGTACCTCAGATGTTCGAACTTCTTGTGCGTAAGTAGGTGACACAGTTGTTACAATGTTTGAGAAAATGATAGCACCCTGGACATATAGATAAGAGGTGAATAAGAGGAGCATTATAATTTATGTTAAGTCTTGTAATCATTTACCTTAACAGGATTGACTCTATCTCCAGATGAGTGATCTTGCATTCTGTCTGGTCTGTTCAACTGGTTAACATCAAGGCCGCAGGATCCCAGATCTGAAGCAGATGAAGTACCTTGATACTCAAAGTTGTGACATGTAAAGCATATTCTTGCAGAATCTAACCCCTTTGGTGCATACAGATCCCAATAAAGCGGCGCCTGTAATAAATAAATAAAAAAACAAAGAAGAGCTTCAGAAGGTATCCTACACAACAAGACTTAATGCCAGTGATTAAGACAAAACCGTACAACAAAAGCTGTTTGCCAGTCATGACAATGTATGATGTCTGGTTTTTTGCCGGACTGAAGAAGCAACTCTAATGCAGCGCGGCTAAAATACGAGAAGCGTTTGAAATCATCTTTCTCTCCGTAGAACTGTCCTCTCCAGAAGAACTTGCTTGGATGTTGAGGCTCAATGAAATGTACAGGCAAGCCTTTAACATATAGAAGAAACTTTAATTCAAACAAAGAAACACAACAAGAGTAAACAAAATTATTGTCTCCTCCACACCTTCAACAGTCCCTATCCAGATTTTGTTTTTATATAACTTCCCATCAAAATATGACTCCACAACAGTATCCAAAGCCTGCGGTGAATATATCAAACCATCATCAAAAATACTGAATTTTATTTTGAAGTCTCTGATTATTTACAGCAACAACATTACCCTTAAGTCACGGACACGATCATATTGCATACAGTCGTATTTGGGAAGGATAATCTCTACCAAGTGACCTCTTCTTTGCAATGCCTTCCCAAGACCTGCCACAACATCCCCCAAACCGCCCACCTATAAGAATTACATGAAAAAAATTAGTAATGACAAAATTCAGAATGAACATGAAAGTAGCAGAAGTTAGCTGAACAAACCTTAGCTACAGGTGCCATCTCAGCTGCAATGTGAACGACATACAATCCTTGACTAGAATCAACACCAGATGAAGAAAATATATTACTTTTTCAAAACTAAAAAAAGGGCAGATGCTACAATCATTGACTAGCTTAAGTACCTTGTTGGAGATGATACAAGCTTGAGAAATGCAGAGATTGCATCCCTTTCACTCTTGTCTTTGACGTCAATGTACGTGTCGTGGATTCTTCTATCTTTCTTCCACACCATTTCCCTCAGTAAGTCCGCATCATCGTTTGCTATTTTCTTCTCAAGCAGCCACCCATCAACAGTTAGAAGCAAACGACTCCAATAATCCCAAGGCATGTCATCAACAGGTTCATCTCTCGGTTTTCTATTGCTCTCTTCCTTCAGTCTCTCAAGTGTCTCCTGGAACTCTTTTATCGATTCTTGATATAACTGCACATAGGAGAATATCTCTGCATCAGACTTTTCAAGCCTCTCCTCGAGTAACTGCACCTTATGTTGCATCAGCTCATTGTACTGTTGAATCTTTTCTGATGATTCTTTATAAACATTGGCTTCTTTAAGCGATTCCTCGATTTTTTCAACCTTAGATTTGAGATCTTGATTCTCTTGTAACACTAAAACCGCTTGCTCTGCTTGTTTGGTAGCTCTATCTAACAGAAGCTGTAGACTCTCCACCTTTGTCCATAGATCACTACACTCGGTTTTAAGAGAAGAAAGCTTCGAGACATCTTCTTGAGAAACTAACAGCTTAGTCTGCAAATCTTTAACAGAAGACTCCAAACCCGAGCACTCCTTTTCCAACACAACTACACGTTCATCGGTGTTCTCAACACTGCGAAGCTTCGACTTGAGCGTTTCTATATCGTTTCTCAAAGACATATTCTCTATCTTCAACGTTTCTATCTCTTTGCTAAGAGCTAGAACATAACCATCGCTCTCTGGAGGAGAAACCATTTCATGACGAAGCTTCTCTAACTGTTCTTCTAGACGCTCTACACGTACTTTCTCTTGAGCAGCGGTTTTGATCCTTTCGTCAGTCTCAGCTAACTTCATTTCCAAAACATAGATTTCTCCTTGTAATGCTTCCTTTTCACTTAGGATCTTGCTGAGTTCGGCAAGAGCGCTGACTCGTGCTTGGTCAAGCCGGAGAATATCTGGCAAAGAAGTCATCATATTCATGGATTAATATATGATTTTCACAATATAATGAAAAAATGAAACAATGAAAAAAAGAGACAAAAACCACTTTTCTCTGCGTTTCTTATCATCGCCATGAGCTCCCCAAACTGTCCATCGCCACCACTTTCGTTAATGGACTGAAAAAATGATAACCAATAGCTATTAAAAACAAGGAGTGTTTTCAAGAATTGGTGAGTCAAAATAATGACATTTATCATTTTACCAAAGCTTTTGCAACCTCAGGAACGGTCAAAAAGTTCAAGTCTTCCTTCTTCTTAGTAAGTTTATTTTTAAGCCGAGTAACTTCACCTTTTTGTACATGTTCATCTCTAGTTTCATCCACATGATTAGTTTCTACGGTGGAAGGAATATTGTTTCCCTTTTCTGCGTCTGCTGAACCATTCTCAGGTTGTGAGTCCTCTTCATCGCTGTTGCTCTCAAGACTTGAGTTACTAATGGGTAGGATTGGTTGAGGAGATCCTTTCTTGATATCTTGTCTTTTACTGGAGCTGAGAATTTGTCAAAGATATCAAAACGACGGTTGTGCAAACAAAAACAGGCTTTAGATACACAGTATCCAGATAACAAACCACAGTCTCATATCTCACAAAAATAAAAAATGCCACATTCTAATCTAATTCTCAGACAAGATCAAAAGCTAATTCGGACACAACCTAAAAAAAAAAACTTTTGCAAAACTGAAAAAAAAAAAATGTAATCATACATAAGTTTTAGAGGTGAGACTAAACCAGACCACTCAAGGGCAAGGTATCTAAGAGCAGTATAATCAAATTCAGAGAAAAAAGGTTATATCTTTCAGTCGAATTCGCACCTAATCATCAAAACCAAACGAGGAACAAAACACTCACTCGAAGCCACGTTGTTGTCGGATCTTACAAGAAGCAGGGAGGAATCGACGAGAAGGGAGATAGAAAAATCGAGGAGAGCTTGCGTGCTCTCTTTTGCAGGAGATTCCTACTAATCCATTGGTTAAGAAACAGCTTGATAGCTTCGTCGTCGTCATTGAT